TTGAAGGCACATCTTCTTAAGAAGATGATCTACACCAGTGAAGAAATCATCTTCCAGGATCCAACTGGCATGATGCAATTTATAGTCTTTGTGGCAATGACTATGTTTTGACAATCGCTATGATTTTCATAGTCCTTGGACTCTCAGGGCTAACACAACTACCGGTCGGAGCTAACTAATAAAGTTTGTACCGGTCCCCTGATTTGAAAGTTTGGCAGCGCTATGTGTCGCAGTGACCCCTCGGGTCGCTGGCTTCACGGTTTTGAGTCCACACGTAATAGCAACCGGCATACCTGGTATAGGCTGAATCAACGTGTGAGTGCCAGCTTTCTGAGAAGCGCGGGGTCTCTGGTTCGGTCGTTCAACAAAGACCAGTGCGTAGTAAACCGATCATGTGTCAACACAGTAAAACCAAAAGTTTTCTTGCGGGTCCCCCGACTACCCCATCATGTTAGCAGTTACAGCTGCTCCAACGTCAACTGTCAAAAGCCTATGCACCTAACGTCGCAACCACATGCAAGCATATTGTCATCAGGAATACAGGTCAGTACTTTGGAGTTCGACGGTATAGCATACAGTACTTGGGCATGTGTCACGGTCATAGCACTGGCTTCGACGTGGGCCGAAAAACACTGTACAAGTAACGGCGGAGGCCCCGCCATCCGAACACATGTACCGACTATAAGGGAGCATGACCATGTTGGAGGCTCGTTGGCACACTTTGGGGGCTCGTTGTCACTCCGGATAGGCCTCGAACACAACAACCGCAAGTTCCCCCGAAGGAGTGAAGCACAGGTGCTCGGGTTGGAGCATCTTCTCCGTGCTGTTGGAAAGGTCCGGTTCCCTACGGGTTGGCAGGGACTTACCGGCACCGTTAAAAAGTTTATGGAGGGAAAGTCCTGCTCCGTCAGGGCGGACGGTGAGTTACAGGTACCGTTCGGCGAGCTGAGTTATTAAGACTGATCGGAAGTTACCATTTGCATCATTTGCACTAATTCGGCCATCACCGCTATTGACGCTTCAACTTTGCTCAGAAGTATCCACTGCCCGAGCCGCCACACCGTTGGGCTCCAACCAGCCAAACAGCCAAACCAGAGCAGGCAGCCATACAAGATCACGAAAGGGGGCGTTGGATGTGCCCCTGTCCTTCTCAGTGGTTGGCATGTGCCGATGGTTGCACCGGCAATGAGACAGAGCTGATTTGGATTCTTGGACCACACTTCCATCTGCAAATTCCCAGCCAAGCGCCACAACCCCAAACCCAGCCGCAGAGAGCTGAGTAGATCAGAAGGGCCCCAAAAGCCATAGTCACGTCCGGACCCGTCCTTGCCAAGGAACCGATTAACGCTGGCAGCCCGTCGTCCCCGACGGCCCATGAAAGGCCAAACATCAACACCGCAGTAACTGCACCCGCATTCTCTGCTGCTGTCAAGGGTGGCTCTTTTTCAGTCATGTTGGCGAGCACGCCCCGGGCTGTCTACGGGGTCCTCTAAGTTTACTCTGAAAGGAGTGGGAGGGCGATCCGCGCCCCAGGGCACAGCGCAGGCGCTTCACCCCTTCACCACCCCTTTTGAACAAGCGAGGTCGTAGATCCACTCGTCCAGCATGAAGGCAAAAATGGCTCTCTCTCTTCTCTCTCTTCTCTCTCTCTTATTCCACACAGCCACACAGCCAAGACGGACGGCAGATACCACCTCTCCGCGCGCGTACGCGCCTCAAAATGAGAGGCCCAAAAGGAGCGAGCACCGACCTGTACCGTGAACACTGCAAACCCCGAACGATCCCCCCTTCCTGGCCTCGACATGGCTCTGTCTGGAGAGCTGTGTTGTGTCAGGCACGGGCCTTGTGGAGCCGTTGCACAACAGTCAAGAACTGCAGCAAACCTGACACCCCCGCCCGGGCAAGAACGACTCCCAGAAGCCTGGGCCTGGGCCTACCAGCCTGCCTGGCCCAGACCCTGAAGCACTCTCTCTCATGCTCTCTCTCATGCTCTCTCTCTCATGCTCTCTCTCTCTCTCTCTCTCTCTCTCTCTCTCTCTCTCTCTCTCTCTCTCTCTCTATCTCATGCTCTCTCTCTCTTGCTCTCTCTCTCTCTCTCTCTCTCTCTCCCTCTCTCCTTTCGCCAGGCTTGCAGGGGCTTCCCGCTGTTGGCTGGGTGCATGGTATTTCATGCGGTAGGCTAGGACTATGGGCACTCGGCATCACCTAAACCTCACAGTAAGTGTCTGTACCTTGCTGTCACACTATGTAAGCTCCCGTATTCTACGTGATGCTGGTCGTGCCCTGCGAGCAGCCATCAGACGCGCCCCTTTGGTTGCAACAGCTACAAAGACCATGCCGACAAACAAGCAGTATCTTCAGTGTGGTTCTGGGGCCAGGCGACTTCGACGGTTTGTTCCGCAGGCCTACTTGTCGTGGTGCAAAGCGGAGCCCCCAGGAACCTCTAGATGCGGGTACACCTGCCTAGCCTCCCCTATTTATAGGACCTAGTTGGACTTCACCGCCGCCCCGTATGGAGCAACACCGGTATGGAGACAACTTGCCGAGTCACAATGTGGGCCGTCACAGCGAGTTGGGTCTATCTGGAGGTACCACCAGTAGTTCTTAGTGTTGCCGCCCCGAGGGATACAACAGCAGTGCAACAGTAAACCACCGACGTATACGACCACAGAACGGGCTGGCATTGCATGGTGATCTCCAGCATCGTGCTGCCGCCCCAGATACATCAACAACAGTACAACAGAAGAACACATATTGGACCATCGTACGGGCTGGCACAGCATGGGGCCTGGGACAACTGTACAAGGTTAGGGGGCTTGACCCAGGACTTCGCTGCTAGGCGGTGGGCACGTTGGTTCTGCAAGGAGGTGCAGGGTGTGGGGCAGTCAGTAGGGCTGGAAGTCATTCGCCGCCGCCCCGTGTCGATCGTAGTTCGCCAACGCTTCCAATTTTTCCTCTTCTCTGTCTGCACCTGCTTGGGCCTCTGCTCCGCGATTTTGCTGTGCTTGCATTTCTTGGCAGGTGTCCGGCCCAGGCTCCGGTTGCCGTGCTTCTCCCCATCGCCCCGCCAGTGCTGCTACCATCTCCTCTTCACTGTCGTCATGCACCTCTTCTTGTCTGGCCCGGTCCGCGCTGTTGCGCCTGCAGGTCCAGCAAGGCCTCTCGACCCATGTTGCCAGGGTCCGCTCCGAGGTCGTCCAGCTGAGTGGGGTTTGTTGCCCCGGTCGTCGGCCAAAGTGCGCTCGGCTCTGGCAGCTGCTCTTGGCTGTCTGTTGCAGGGATCGCCCCGCCATGGTGCCACTGTAGCACACAAAGGTCGTAGGCCTCGCCCTGCAGGAGGCCACGTACTGCTGCCAGGTTTTGGGTGGCTTGTTCCAAGGACACCGAGTGCGCATGGAACGGCCTCGGTGCTTCATCTCCCCCTGCGGCTGGCGTCAGCACATCTGCCGCATGCGCCCCAGCTGCGTTCCAGCCCTCCGCGACTATGGCGACGCGGGAGCCAACACGGAGGTCGTTCTGGTGCTCCAGCAGACCCGCGAGACTCATGGCATCTACTCTACTGTAGACGTTGTTTACTATACGGTGCACCCCCCGAGCCTCATACGGTACAGGATAGTATACTATACTCTCACTTTCACTCTCTTCCGGGTTGGAGGAAAGGGCAGCGTCCTGGCCCCCTCCCCGTGCGGTTCGCACACCCGCAGCTCTTGGCAGGATTGATTCTCTCCCGGGGTTGTTCCTCAGGAGGGCTCGGCTGTACGAACGAAGGCAAAAATTCGTCCCCCTTGTTGGTTAAGGCAACATAGAGGATTCCTATTTGATGATCAGACAATGACAACGACATCACCAAGGTGGACGTTTGCAGGAATCCTCTTTCTCATACACTCTGCAGGTTCGGGGTAACAAACAGGCTCGTCTATGCGGTTTCACGCCCCCAAGCACTAGAAAGGTACTCACAGTAAACAGGGATGGCGTTCCCCTGTGTTCCCCGATTGCAGCAAACTGTTGACATGTTCTCTTGCTTGCTTGCTTGCAAGGCGTTTGGGAGGTGGGGCTCGGGGCTCGGGTCCCCACTCCCCCTGCGCGAGAGCGCTACGCCACTGTTCGAGTTCGGTGTGAAACTTGGGCTATTGTGTTCGGCCAGGCCAGGTTTCCCTAGAGGTGCCCCCATGCCCCCGTTACCAAACACCCTTTGTTACGACTAGTGTTGTGACCTGATGTTCTCTCTCCGTCTCTCTCTTTCGCCAGGCTAGAGGGGCGAGCCCCCGCCCATGGGGGCCGCCCGACGTCTCTCTCTCTCTCTCTCTCTTTCTTTCTCTCTCTCTCTCTCTCTCTCTCTCTCTCTCTCTCTTCCGGGCTTGGGGATCAGGCCAGCGTTCAGGGCCGTCACACACACACACACACACACACTCTCTCTCTCTCTCTCTCTCTCTCTCTCTCTCTCTCTCTCTCTTCCTCTCCCACCGATTTCCTCGCTTCTTGTCGCTAAGTGGCAGGTCATTCCAGCGATCTGCATGCACTCCTTGGGATCAGCTGAAGCTGCTCGTGACACAGGGCTGGTTGCATGGTACGGCTTGCACAGACTGACTCCTGCCATTGGCATTCAGCATTTGGCTCAGCACAGTATCTACATCGCACTTGAGCAGAGTTCGTGCTCCCACTGACGGCATGTGTTCTCACTATTCGGGCTTGCGAGCATGTCCTGGTAACCGGCTGTGAGTGGCAACGCCATTGGGGCACAAGCTCGTCAAATTTCACCGGTGTGACGCCAGCCGTATCCTTGCATGTGATTCGAACTTCTGCCTTTTACAAGGCGGTTGGCGTTTCCTTGGTACAGATGTTCTGTACATGTCCGAGCATGACGATATGTGAAGATGCGGAGTTGCGGGTGTGTCATCAAATCGTCGTCACATCGCGAGCAACGCCAGAGCATGCTGAGAATTTGGACCCCCCACAAGACAAAGCTTCTGCTCTTCAAGTCGCTTCTATGATGGAAAGGATCAGAGCTGTGGAGAACCGCTGAACCGACAGCTCCAACACAACAAGTGCTCTCGGCACAACCACCCTGACACGCGACAGTTGCCGCACCTCTCCTGCACATCCGGTGCACCTATCGAAGCAGCCTCCTGCAAGCGAGCATCGACAAAGCTGACCGCCCGAAAGCGAGGGACGCCAGGAAGGGCCGGCAGGCCGTCTGCGAAGACTTGCCTCAGCTTCTCGGGCTGAGACCGCCTTGGCCGAGACAAGGCGTACACTCTGCTTGCTGACGAGCTGCACCCATCCGGTGGCAGAGGCAACGGCAAGCTCAGACAGGTTGAAATTGCCTGTTGAATGAAAAAGACAGGTCGCGTTCCGTCCATGCAGCAATTTCCCCTTTCCGGCCCACTTGCTACAAAGTGCAGCCAGCACACCAGCGCTTGTGACTGGCCTGAAGCTGCCAATTGGTGGCGTATCGGAGGATGGAGTGCGCTTGCATGCGGTGTCGCTGGCATCTTAGTATGCTCCTCGCCAAGTAGCTTCGTCTCATTGTCCAGATCCAATGAAAGCTCTTCCACGGGAGCTCTTGACACAGCTCTGTAGATGGGCTCCAGCACCCAATCTGGGATGTCTTCCTGTCAGCAGTGTCACTCATGCATCGCCTACTTACCCTCGTAGCTATGACAATGGCCCAACACTCCTTCGTGCCGCTTCCTGAGGACTGCAGCAAAGTACATAGCAGGCTGCACACGAGTGCACATGTGTAACATGCCAAATCTTGCAAGAAGCGGTTCAGCGCAGCCCATGCATCGAAGTCCAGCTTCTGTGAAGGAGGTAACGGAGCATGCAGGTTCCAGTGGAGCATCACCTCATGACCAGTGGCTGTACATGAGGGTCAAGGCTGACGGCAAGTGGGTGTTGGCAAGCCTGTTCAGCTGTTCTTCCCAAACCGACCAGGCACTTTAGGCCACGATGGATGACCAAGACACTGTCGAGAAGAAGAGCTGGTGCAAACTGCTGATTGATGGAAGCATCCTCAAAGATCTCCGATGCGGACAAACCGCGGCCTTCTCAACCAAGTGCAGGCAAGCCGCGCTTTGAGGTTTGTACCGCGAAGCTCATCCGAGACAACATCCATAGCCATGTCAATCGATTCCTCGATGAGCTCATCCTGCACACACAGACTTCCGATGTCAGACCCCAAGCATTCGTGCAAAAGTCAAAGGAATCCTGAGTCTTAGCAGTGCCCCTCCTGGCTCTTGGAAGGGCTGCCGGCTTTGTCGGGCTTATCCTTGTCGCCAGGAGGCATTGACGAGGCCGGAATGCTCACATGGTCGCATTGTCGCCTTCTTTTTGCTGAGCTTTGCTGCGCGCAGCTGTTGACGCCACCACACCTGCAAGCTACGGCCAAGCTCTGATGCTCTCAAGAAGCCGGTGCAGCTGCCTCGGAGAGGCTGCCCAGAAGGCGGTTCATCTTTTGCAGATCTGGTGGCACTTTGAGGCCCGTGAGGCCTGCGACTGAAGCGCAGAATCTAGCTCGCGCCACGGCATGCGACAAGCACTACTTGGTACCTGTTCGCAGCGCAGATACCACACCAGTGCTCGTCAAGCAAACCTTGGATACGAAAGCTCGTCTCACAAGTCTGTCGTCAGCATCACAAAAACCAGGCATGGATGGATAGATCGGTGTGGTGCCATGTTGCAGAGTTCAAGAACTCCATCCGGAGAATCTTGGACAGGGAGAAGTCCTAGCAGCCGCTCGGATCTTACGCCGCGGAACTTATCGTTGGTTTTTCCCTCCTCGCCCAGGAACGTTCCAATTTGAAGGTGGCTGAGGTTGGTGGTGCGCATGAAACCCACCAGGTCGATTGGATAGTCCCGCACAGAGCCAGTGACGACCAGGAAAGCCTCGGCGACTCGCCGACGCTCGCCGTGTGCCACGTGGTGGCTGGAGTTCTCCAAGTTGGCCAAGGAGCAAGACCGCGGCCGGGACTCGACTCAAAGATCTGGCAGCCAAGATAGGCAAAGAGCTCGGCAAGCCTCGCAAGCATCATCTGGCCCGGGTCCAGGCGGCAGGCGGCAGTGAACCGTGATCACATCCCATCACGCCAAGTATCTCGAGCTCAATATCCTCCTCCACCAGAAGCGGAGCTCGTGGCACGAAGAAAGGCTCGAATCCTGAGAAGCAACGGCACGGTAGATGCATGCAACAAACTGTGTAGGTCACGGCGACTCGCCGAAGTCGAGACAGCCGCTTCCCGGCAAGCTCTAGGAATCCGGGCACATGCAACAATATCGTAATTTATGTGTAGTTTGGGTGGTTGAGTTTCCCGTGGTTATGATTTGTCATGAGTGGGATTGGGCGCTCCGAGTGTTTGTGGTACGTGTATGGCGTTGCTGTTCCTCTGGCTGCCTTCGCCGGAAGCAAGTGAATATGACCCCTACGGCACCAGCTGCCGGAGCTCGGGCTGCGGCGGATCTCCCTTGAAGGTGATGCCACAGAGCGCGAAAGAACCGTGCCTTCGAGAGGTTTCCAGCAACACACGGGACTTTCCACAAGGCCACAACGCCATACAAGGCCACAAGGCCTTCGACCTGCAGAGACTGCAAGGTACCAGTAAGCTCCTGATTCGCCTGGCTGAAGGCCCTGGCCGGCAAGGCTGGGGGAGACGCTTTCTCTCTCGGACGTCTGCTGCTCTCCGAGCCCGGCCTGTCGTCAAGGAAGTCAAGACCTCAGGCCAGCGCCCGAGCCAAAGCGAACAAAGCCTCCTCCTCCTCCCTGCTCCAGTCTGTCCGAGGAGCCCATGGCCATGTCAGAAGTGGCCTTCATCTCCTTCTGCAGAAGCCGCCGCGTGGAGACATCCTTAGCTACGATGCACCTACCAGAACCTTTCTGGTGACGCTGACGCTGCTGGCTCCGCACCATGAAGCTAACCTTTGAACTCTAAGCTTTTGCAGGAAGGGCTCGGAGCAAAGATCCACTGCAAACTGGCCCTTGTTGCTCCGTGCAAGGGTGTTGGCACCATTTCTGAGGAGGACCTGGCCAGCCGTCGCCAGCAGCCGAGAGGCTGTGCAGAGTCTGTACGGCTAAGTGTTCGACTCTGACTACATCCTGCCGCCCCATGAAGGCCGCCACATGCAGTGGTGTCCATCCTGCCTCTGCAGTTTCGAAACTTCACATGCCTTTCCAGCTCGCTTCTCAAGCTGGTCCTATCGGTCCTCGTCGGTTGACTGAAGGCCTGAATTGCCTCCGCTGCAATTGGTGCCGTCTCTCTCTTTTTCTTCCTCGCCATGTATCACCTCGGCTCGAACTCGCTTGCCAATCAACCTTGCCTTTGCCTTTGCCACACTTGGAGACTTGACGCTCCACATTTTCGAGAAGCTGCGTCCGTCTCTTGTCCCTGGCCCTTCTCGCTCGGATCCATGCGGAACGGACGAGCCGCCGGGCCCGTTGCGCCTGCCGTCGGCAATGGAGCTGAGAGAAACCCTACCCGTGCCTACCAGCACTGTCAGTACTTTCGGTGATCGGCCTGGCCCAGGCTGCCCTGGCTGTGGCTCTTCATCCAGGAGAACTAAGACTTCGACGATGCTGCAGGAGCCACTGCGGCAAGCAGCGTGTAGACAGGTGGTGCCCTTCTGATCCTGAAAGGCGAAGAAAATCCGAACGCAAGGGACGCGTTGTCTGCAACTGTGCAGCCGAGCAGCGGTCACACGACGGTTGGCTCCCAGGACCAGGAGCCAACGAACACCGGCTAAGTTGGTTGAAGCACCTGGGACGAGCAGTCTACAGAGCAGCCACCTGGCTCTGCGGTCAAGAGCACAAGGTGCCGGACAGAATTGCAATAAGTTACGGTCAATGACGTTGAGACCTTGCACGATGGAGGCACTCCATACAATATATCTCAGTCATGCTTCATTCCCAGCCTTCCAATGTGTCTGGAAAAACAGCCCCAGATGGTTCGGGCTCCTTGCAGACAGATTCGCACTTGGCGTGGTCGAGCTTGACTGAGCCTTGACAGGCCGGCTTGTTGCCTCGATGATGCTTTCCAGGGACTGCGATATCGTCAGCTGCGAGCACTGCCTGCCATCGAACTTAGCAGCGTGGCGGCGTGGCGGAAAGCTGCCGAGAACTTGCCCTTGCAGACGAGAAGCCCTCCGCACTTGCTCCTTTCGCCTGCCACCGCCACCACAGCCGCGCAGAATGTCCGACAAGACCGTGGAGCCACAGAGCTGAGCTCCGTGCCACAAAGGGCCTGGGCGCTGCCCATGGCCGACCTGCACGGAGCCGTTCTGACCACGGAGAGCTCTCCAAGCTAGGGGTCTGGCCTGCGGAAAGATCATTCAGAACCCTTGGCCATGGAGCTACCATGGCTCTGTTGCTCTTTGGCAAACTCCCAGAGCGCTCTAGGAAACCTTGGCCTTACCTTGCTTCACGTTCTTGATCCGATGCCCGGGTCATCCGTTAGCACCCAGTGTTACGAGCCTCGCCTATGCTATTGGCAAGGCTGTCCCAGATCATCTCTCCAAGCTATGACGCTTGAGCGTAGAAGCAGGAGGAGTCCTTGACATGCTGCCTCTCTCATCGTGAAGAAAAACATGGGAAGCCCGTATTATCACTTACAGTGGAATCCACTACTGTAGTGGCCGCTGGCCTTTTCTGTAAGTGGTACGAGGTCTCGTGCGAGAAGGACGAGAAGGGAACTCCGAGCCCTTGGCACCGGGCTGATCACAAGCACAGGACATCATCACAAGCTACTGCAGCTCCATGCAGCTACCATGGCTGCATCGTCTGCTTGAAGTCTGCGGCCCCGGCTCTGGCTCTGGTGCTCGAGACGGAGACGAAGCACTCCATGGGTTTAGGATCGAGTCTCCGTCCGCCGCATAGTGTAGATTACTGTAGATTCTCCTGCTTTCTGTTGCCAGACCGCCCTTGATCATTGTCATGTTTCCTTATAGTGACCTTTCACGAAGCTTTAGACTCTGCTGTGCATCTCAAGTGGCACTCGATTGTATCAGCCCTGCGCGACACGGTTCCACATGCTAAATCAGAGCTTTCTTCGAAATTGCGCTTTGTTGTGGCCGCCAGGTTTTAATGCGAGATGCAAAGTCACTGTGGCTATGTACAGCAAGGACGTGCCCTCGCACTTTCAAAAGCACCTAACTCCTTGGACCACACTACACATCACGCCTGTCAGCGAAGCCATCTGCAAGCTTTCGTCTTGCCCAGGTCTTGCGATTTCTCGTTCCATAATTGAATTTGCACCAAACTAGCTGACACCGGCATGATCTGCGGACAATGCAAGCCGATATGTTGACTCGAAGCTCAGAGAAAGTTTCACAGAATTCCCCGCAAGATCTCCAGACCTCGTGGACACAAAATGGACCGCTGTAAAATCCTATGGGCCGAAGAAAATATCGGGCACTGACTTGCATTGTGCGAAATGTTCGGCCTGAGATCTGTGGATGCCATTCCTTCCATGATCTTACATGCATACTAACTTGAGACACTGAGATCTAAACAGCATCGCCCTGCAGACCTGAGGCGATGCACCTAGCAGTGGCACTCCGTCTTATGAGAAGCCACACTCTCCATCGCTCTCCGATCCCAGCCTTGCTTCAGCAGGAACCGCATCATCTCGGGAGCCCCAAGGGTGGCTGCAAGCCTAGCGGCTAGCGGCGGCTCGCCAATCGACAGACGAAGGCGACGGAAAAAAAGTCTCGCTGCACGTCCAAGCAGTCACAAACGGTCCTAATCAAGCTCTGGCGGCTCTGGCTTCAGGCCCTCAAGCCAGTGCTACCTGCGCTGCTCGCCGATGCATTCTTGGGCACCGTGCATTAGGGGCGTTGCTCCTTCTGAATCACTGGCATTCGCCTGGACAATCAGCACCAACCGAAGCAGGGATCTGCACTTTGCATGCACAAGCAACAAATTTGATGTTGGCTTCCGTTGCGGCTTAATGTGGAGAAACGCAGGGCCTGCAGCCTCCTCCCCCGAGACCCCAACCGCTGAAACACTACCGAAAGCAAGGTCTGCGGGCTTGCTTTCGAGGTTCACACGTGCTTGGCTGCTTGACACTACAGAAGCCCTTGTCTCCTCTGCACGCCACTTTAGCAGCTCCGCCGCATCTCGAACCTGACTGCCCAAGTAAGTCGCAGTGCTCCGACTGAGAGTTCTTGTGCAAATCCGAGATTCAGGCAGCAGTGTCGCCGCACGCGGCAGCATGGTGGAGTGCTGACCTCGGACATGCAAAGGGCGAGACGGACTAACAAAGGCAAGTCGCAGTCCCGGCCGGCTCGTCGCGTCTCGAAGATGCAGATCCTGAGCCAGATTGGCTGTAGCTAAGGCCATGGACGCTTTCGCAAAGGCGAAAAAGGCACTTCCAGCTTCCGAGATTGCGGCAGCTTTGGCAATGATCAGTTGGCGAACCTCGACTCTCGACACTCGCCTGGTTACAGGCATCAAGCCTGGCATGCCGGACCATGCTTAGCTGGCGTCCACTTCAGAAGCTCCAGCGCTCACTGCGCACATCAAGGGAGTCCTTTGTGACAAGCTGGGTGTAGCCGAAGTGCGACTTGTCATGGGTAATCCAACCAATGCACCAAGTTCCCGGCAAGCCAGAACCTGACCTCGATAAGTTCAAAAGTCGAAACCAGCTACTAGTACAAAGGCAGGTTTGAGGAGCTGGCTCTGCATCATTGACAGATGCCTGGAAGCTGACGAGCAGCCTTCGTGCAATGCTAAAAACCTCAAAGAGGGCCATGTCTATCCCAGCCAAGAGAACAGATAACAACGCACTTTAATCAAAGCACCGGCTCACACATGACGCTGATGCCGTTGATGATTTGTGTTTGCTCCATTCTCATTGCTGTGCTGTCTGCTGCTACCTCTCCTTCTTCCGAAGGCTTCCGGCAGGGGCACCCGGCATGCTAGAGTGGCCTGGTGCAAGTCTTGTACCAGTAGTGCTTTAGGATGCTTTAGGCCCACTTGACGCGAGAGGCCAAGCAGGCAAGCTCTGCAAGCTCCATGCTCTAGACCTCGCCCTCCTGCTCGCGTGCCATCGCGTGCTAGCGACGAGATTATTCCGCACATTAGAATTAGATGTCATCAGACAAGTTCGTGTCCGCAGATGATTTAGCAAGTTGCGACCAAACACCGTCAGCTGCTGCATCCAGATGGAGAACTCGATTCTGCATGGATTACTGATTACTGGTTGCGGGCTTCTTTTGAACCATCCCGGCTCACATCTGCCGGCAACGTTTTTTTCATCACAGACCCCGGCTCTGCCTGTAGCAAGGCACGCGTATGGGAAGGGCCGCGGATGTTGCAAGTCGGCTTCATAGGACTTCTTTGAGGAGAAGGAGTTAGTGTGGAATTCCGGTGCGGCACCAAGAGCCGCTGGCTCGACGAGCACTCGCCCGCAGATATACGAGCGACTCCGGTCCAGATTGAGCTCAAACCGGTACATACTAATCGAGTAGGGCACAAAGATGACCTTGAACGACTTCGGCACCGGGATGCTTGCGGCCTGTTCCTCGCTACGTCCCCTGCGACAGCTGGCGGCTCAGGAGGGCCTTGGCCATATTGCCATCTTGGCTCAGGCTCAGGTGCTTTGGCTTTCGCACTGGAACGGCAGGGTGTGGCTGGTGAAGTGGTCGCACGTGCGCAGGGTTGCAGCAATGGGCCCCGATCCAACCGGCCGAAGCCTTCCGAGCGTCGTAGCATCGCGGGGGCCCAGCGGCGAATCGGGCGCCCATATTGTAGGCTCTTGGAAAAACCTGAATGCATCTCCTGGCTACTTAGTCTGACTTGGGAACGCCCGCCACATATACAGCAGCACCTTTGTCGGGAACACAGGAAGCAGTTTGGCTTGCTGGCTGGGTTTCTGACCTGCACAATTCCAAGTCACCCGCGGATGCCGCGATGTGCAATGCCGTCCTTGGCACGCACACACACACACACACAAAGACGCATGAATCAAGACTGGTATCGCTCGTCAGCGACAGTGTTCTGAAGGTACATCACCCACGAGCATCCGACTCGCCGCGGCTGTTCAACAAGCTTGCCGCCGCTGGAAAGTCTGGGTCCCATTCTTAGCACACCACGATCCAACTTAGTTTGCTACGAGTAGGGACTGCAGCAGACCGAGGCCAAAACCCTCCATGGCTTGTAGGCAGACCTGCGCACAGGCTTGGCTCTGCTTTGCTGGTTTGTGCTTCGAACTGCTGAAGCTCGACTTGCAGTTTGGAATCTGCTCGCATGGCAGTCCCGGTCTACATGGCGGGTAAGAACAAAACGCGACGAAGTAGGGCATACATAGATCGGCCTCTGCTGTCACCAGTCGTGCTTCCAAGTAGCCAGTCGGACCTCGCGACCATGGAAACAGTTTACATCAACTTACCTGTCTACAGCTCGCACAAGTTGAATTCAGTCCCGCACGTTGCCAGGACTTTGAGGCCTCGAGAGCAAATCATCCATGCTTGCACAAACACCTGACCGAACTGGCTCTGAGGCTTAGGTTGCTCAGCAAGGCCACGGCCGCAAGTTCGGAGGCAGGATGGGCGCTTGCCGGATCTGATATGTCCAGACTCTGTGAATCAGGGCCTTCAAGACATGGTGAAAGCCAGAAAGGCAGTGACAGCTAAGAGAACGTTTCAGTAAGGTCAGAGCCGCCAGACCTTAAAGCTCGTCACTGCGTGCAAGATTTCGAAGAGCTACAAGGTTAAGAGACTAACCACCAGCTTGCACGCTGCAAGGTTGCCACCATCGCCGGGACCTGGCTGCATCTGCTCCAACTACACAAGTCTGTGTTGGACGTCTTTTTCTTGACACTCACACTCGGACAAAGCCTGGCAAGGTCTGCAGCGATGGCTTTAAGAGTCTGCGGTTCCAACGTGGCGACTCAACGATTCGGCATTTAACATTTGCGTAGGGGTCTTGGACATGGCTGGACGGTCTGGCCTGTTTCTGCTATAGGGGAGAATAGCGTCGCCGACATTTCCTGTTGCGTATCAAACATGGGCCGTCGGCGTAAATCCGGTGTTTCAGTGCGTTCTATGAGCTGGTCAGTCTGGAATTCCATCCTGGAAGCCTCGCGACCGTGCGGGTGTGCGTGGGTGGACGGGTTGGTGAGTGGGTGGGTGGGTGGGTGGGTGGGTGTGCAAGTGCCCGTCTGCCTAGCTGTCTGTCTGCTTGCCTGTGTTCTTGTGTGTGTGTGTGTGTGTGTGTGTGTCCAACTCTGTTTCCAAGAGATGTGAGTGAGTTAAGCAGCAGGGGGCGTGGCAGTCGCATCCTAGCCACGCCAACGAAGCTATGGATGTTGACTGGATGGGCTCACAGACGTGTGAACCTGTACCTGCACAATGCTGCTCATGGGTCACGCATGTGGCAGCTTGAGAGCTTATCTGTGAATGCGACAGTCATGAGTGAGGGCTTGCATTGGTCAGTTTCTTGCTCAGTTTCTGTTCAAGAGTTTGCCTGTGAATGCGACAGTCATGATGGAGGGTCTGCACATGTCAGTCTTACATGAGTGATTCGTGTGTGTCCTATGGTAGTACTTCAGATTGCATGTTCTGACTTTCCCGTGCAGCCTCTGACTTTCCCTGACAGCTGCTGACTTTCCCTGACAGTATGCACCGACAGATCAGACCTGCGACACGATGTGTCAAGTGTGCTTCACAACGGCATTCCCTATGGGCGCCGTGTCTCCCAGAGGTAGCTCTGGCGCTGACTTTCCCGATTGACTGTATAAGCATTGGATGACTTTCCCTGATTCTATATCCGTGCTTGCAAGCTGACTTTCTCAGTGAGTCTTTACCAAATGCCTTTACCGAAACCTGAATGCTGACTTTCCCACTGACTTTCTATGATCTGATTGACTTTCCCGAATCTGACTTCACCGCTGACTTGTCGCAGGTCTTCGGCTACAAGTTGAGTACATGAGCTGTGTTTTTGGTAGTTGCTGATCAGTTTGCCATGGATGCCTCAGGAAAGAGACACAGTACCGGCACATCAATTCCCCCCCCTCCTCCCCCCACCTCTCCCTCCACCCTCCTCCTCTCCCCTTCCCCCTTTGCCCCCCCCTCCCCTCCCCACTTCTGCCCCTCCCCCCTCCCGTGGCACCACGCCGAAGTGGATTCCACCCCCCCCTCCCCTTCCCCCTCCCGCCTTCCCTCCCCCACCCCCCACTCCTGCAGTTTGCCCGACGCCAGCTCCGTCTTCTTCTTTGCCGATCTCTTCTGCATCCAATGTTGGTTTGGGAACAGCAGATGTAGCTCCTACCTTGATTGCTGCACGTGCTGTAAATGATCGGCCTGTTCCACAGCAAGAGGTTCCACCAGCAATCACTCTTCATGCAGATGGCGCAGGTTTCCGTTTGTCGTTTCGTTCGGTGGCCGATTTTGCTGAATACTCAGCAATCATGTCGGCAAACTTGACTCATGTCCGAGGCCACAGAGATGTGTATGCTGGCCTTAACAATTTGCTCGACATTCAGCAGACTGTTGTTTCTCAACAGAATCAGTCAGCAGCTTCTGGTCAGAGCCAGCAGTCAGCCCTCACATACCAAACGGATGACTCTTCCCAGCCCTCAAAGCGACTTCGGCAAGTCCATGGAAGCGGAGTTTCTCTTGTCGCAGATCCTAACAGCATTCGACTTCGTGCAATTTGCGATAAGATTCCTGGTACTCATGCTGATCGTGTAGGATGGCAGCTCAGTGCGGACCAGACTTACGTCTTTCGAGTTAAACCCTTGCAAGATTCGTACGAGCATTTTGAGAATCGATCTCTTCTCAAAGGGCATGTGGAAGTTGAGTGGGAACAAGATTCAAACTTCTTCGTGATTCCTGAACTTCGTGGGTTGGAAGTGCGTGATGAAGAAGCGAAGCTGATACAAGTGTACTCAGCCAGCTTCAATTGGGTCGCATTATACCCCATGTTTACTGCTCTACGTCACTTGATCAGTTCCAGCCCTGGCCGTATGAAATCGGCATGTGAGATTTCGAGAAAGATACAGGCTAATCTTGAGTTGCAGGTTCCCAGCTCTTTGATGCAAAGCACTGCGGACTATCTGATGAGCCTGTTAGGTCTTCCTTCCCAGTTTGTCAACTCGACGGCATTGAAGTATGTCTCTCAGGCAATTGCTGCAGCCGACCAAGCTGCAAACATTCACTCTGTTGAGCTTCATTCTCTGTCGAGTTCGTGCAAGTGCTTGAGCATCCACTTCACCCACTTTGAGAGGACCATGGTCAGGTCGCATACTTCTGCAGCAGGGATTGCTCGTTTGCCTGTTGCACACAACACAACAGTGGCCGGGGCCGCCTCTATCTATCCTCCTTGAGGGAACGATTCGACCATCGTATTGGGATGCTCGTGACAGCATGTGGTCCCCACCGGTTTCCTTCTATGCTAGGGCTCATACTTCAGATGCAGAACAAGCACAAGAGGCGGCGTCCAAGTACGGTGGCATTCTGAGTGAGCGTCCGGTGTGCATTTTCGGATCTGCATTTAATCGACAAGGGTCCCTCACGCCTCCCCATTCAAGGATCCCCATGGGAGGAGTTGAGGGTGACCATTCCTGCAGTTACATTCGTGACGTTGCCCGTGCCAAAGATGGCAGATGGGTCTTTCGCTCCTCATGTTTCATCCCGGAAGCGCTTCTTGTCTTTTGGAAGGTCTGAGTGCTGTATGTTGCTTTGACCAGCCGCGCTCTCAAGTCTCTTCCGTTGTCAATTGCTATGTACGCATGCACGTGTCGAAAACATGCCAGTTAAGATTGTGAGGTGTGCCTGCAAGAGATATGCAAGTGTGCTGCAAGTGAAGTTTCAGCGGTAGTGCAAGGGTGTGCGTCAGAGGTGCAAGAGATGAGCAAGTGTGGTGCAAGAGTTGTGCAAGCGATGTGCAAGTGCTGCAGTTTGAGAACAACTTGAGCAGGTTTGTTCAACTACGGAGCTCTTTGATTCGAAGTGTCCTTAGCGATCCCGTGGACTTAGCCTTGTCGCTAGTTCTGAAACCATGGCATGGAATGGACAGTGGGACACCAACACAGGGTACGGGAGATCCCAACAATCGTGGGGTCAGCATCGCTATCAGCCGTATAGCTCGGGAAGTTGGAATGATCCCAACCTCTCCAATTCTGCTCCTGCTAGTCAGCCTCCTCCCCTACCTCCGCCTCCACTTTCTTCGGCACCTTCATCATCGCCGTCTACTCCCATGCCACTTCATCAAGGTCCTGGTCTTGCTCCTGCACTACCGAATGGATGGGCGTCAGATCGTGATCATTATGACTCCACAGTGCTTCATGGGTTGTCTTTTCGTAAGTACATCGAAGCCACCCCGTGGTCGCGAAAGAAAGGGATCGCAGGAAAAGATCCACTCAGCATTCCTGTTCAGGAATTCCTGTTCCATGGAGTTTCAGATTGGCGTCTTCGAGCATTAAGTCAAGGCAAGTTTTTCAGTGTTGTGCCAGTTGCTACAGTTGCTGAAGCAGTGTTCATGTCGCAAGTGACGAAGAACCTTCGGGATCGCAAAGTTGACATCGATGCAGTTGCTACGCAACTTTTTCAGGCCGCTAATCCATCTACAATCATTCCCAACAAGAACACAGATTGTGCAGTCCTGTTTCAGCCGCTGGTTGACAAGATCGTTCAGCTCATGTTTGACAACATGCCGGTGCCCACAGGCGTTGACCAATCTCAGAAGTTCCTTCAAGTTTCGGAAGAGCTCACGCCGTCGTGAACAGTTGCAAGCCGCAGGACTTCCTGTTACCCCTACGAAATCCGCTTCGAAAACACAGCTCCCGGTTGCTTCGCAATCTAGTGCTCCTTGTCTACAATCCGGGACACCACCGAAGACTTGGGAGAGTGACCTCAAGAGTAAGATCGACAGTGTTCCTGCTGAAGCCTTGAACGATCACAAAGCCCGACTAAAGGGATCAGGAGAGGGGGACGTCGACAAGTGGATCCAGAGTTTCAAACGACCCCTAGGCAAGCGTTTTGCAGAATTTCAAGAGCACATTGTGTCTGTCTCCAAGCTTGTGCAGATCAACTATGGAGGCAAGGAGAAAGCCAAACTGCAAGAACTTGCAGTCAAATTCGGGATCTCGGCGACCTTTGCATCTAGGATGGGCATCAAGAGTCTCTCTACGTGCATTGCAGCGGCAGCTTTTCAAGTTGTCTGAATTGCACACAGCCTTGCTTCCAAACAACTCTCCGCAAAGGAGATTCGGTCAGCACATGTTCTTATTACAGAGATTGGCAAGTTCATGTCGTTTGTGCTTCAATTCATTCCGCATGTGGACAAAGTGATGGCCATTTGGTTGCAAGGTTTTTGTCATCTGATTCTACTGTTCCATTACTCCAGGGGTACTTCGCCAGAGCAACGGCTGCTTGAAAAACTGCAGAAAGCTGGAGTTACGCCGTCTGAGTACACGTTCACACGGTTTCAGAGTCCTTGTGCAGTTTATTTGAAAGCTCCCGTGTCTTGGAGTACACGTTCATCGTTCAAGCAAAGAGACCGATGGATGTATGTGGGAAGTACCTCAATTACTATTTCGAAGCGTGAATTCAACCGTCAATCCAAACTCAAGCAAGTTCTCCGTGAGCAATATGTTCAAGTTGAACCGGCCATTCGTATTTGGGCTTCGCTTGGCAGTTATTTCGACTTTTCTACACTTTGTCTGTCGGTTCATGATGACTACAAACAAGCTTGGGTGCAAGAGCATGTCCTCATTGATCGATGGCAGCCCAGATTCAATTCACCGTTCATTGACCGCTTCTT